CCCGGCGTGCGCACAATGCCGAGCAGCAGACTGCGGGCACATGGCTGGGTCCCATTCAGGCTCATCAGCATAGTCTAGCTGGCTGTTTTGTTGCTAGTCTGCTTACGGGGTGGCTTAGGAGCGTCTTGCCGGTGGAGTAACAAGGAGTTTTTTTTTTGGCCACAAAAGTTTTGTGGCAAGGGCTCATGGGAAAATCATTTGCATACATCTTGTTACAAAGGCTGACTACTTCCTGGCTTAGACAAAGTGTTGCCTGATAAACAGACTTAACACACAAATGTCTGTCTGGAATAAACAACAGCAAGCTTTGATTTACATTTCCATTATCAAAGATAATCTCTTTCCCAGTGTACAGGAATTAAGACTCCTTGCCCGATAGAAACCAGGCTGCCATGCTGGGGTCTCACCACCGCCAACCCATGTGTGTCAGCCAGAGGGACGCGGTGCTGTCCAGGCACAATGGGCCCGGCGAGCTGTGCGTGTGACGGTGCGGCGTGTGACAACGGGGTGCTTTGAACTCCCTGCAAAAGTTGGCTTGAAAGCAATGGCTGGAGCTCAACGGAGAGCCAGGCCTTCCTGAAGTGAAATAGTAGTAGCCACCGAAATAGCCATAAATAAGAACTGCGGCATATACGGAGCGGTGCATGCGTGTTTACATTATAATGTATAATGAAGGGAAAGTGAGTGTAAAAAGCCTCGGTCCTATTGCTGGTTTCTGTTTGTAAATCCCTTAAGCTCGCCACGTAAGGTTGTATATAAAAGAACATGATTTAGATTTTTATTAAACATATATAAATCTTTGGTGGAATCCGTGCCCAAAACTATAGATGAAAAATTTATTGCATGAGCACAACCCAGCCGTATAAATATTTTATTACAAATAGGACTCTGAAACTTGAATAAAATATGTCAGTTTATTATACAATATGTCGTGTCCCCCCCCAAACATGCTGAGAATGGAAAATGTAACCTGGGCACTTCCCAATGCGGGCTGCAGGATGGGCACAGCTCTCGGCATCACCGCCGTTGGCTTTGGTGCGATCTGCCATCACCGCCCATTCATTCGGGCACAGAGCAAGATCGGCTCCTGCAGGTAGGAAGGGGTCCCCGATGGCACACCCAGGGCTGCTGTCTGGAAAGCACTCTGCACGTTTCCAAGAAAATGCCCTGTGTTCCCCAAGTCCCACTGCCAAGAAGTAGTTTAACGCTGGGAAGTGGCATAACGCTTGGTGCAGGATTTGTTTGCACCAACTCCTCACCGTCTGTGTCACCCTCTACAAAAAGAACAGCACTGTCGACACTGTTGACACTGGTCCTGTTCGCAGGCCAGACGTCCCTGGGAACGTTTCATTCTCTCCAAACAAAGCAGCGCTCCTCTCTGAGCCGCCAGCCCCGCAGCCAGGCTGAGCCTTGCTCCGCTGCAGCCGAATCCGACGTGGTGTGCCGATGTGCAGGGCTTCCCCACAGCGGGGTCGGCGTCACCGCCCTGTGCACACGGGTAGCCTAGGAGCAGCTGGAGCAGAGCAGCAGGCAGAACAGGGCAGCCAGTGCTAGGACACCAGCCCCTTTTTTTTCCTTTACCCGTAATCGTACTTGCTTTGGGAGCAGAGAGTGGAATGTCTTTGACGTTGTTTTGATTGTTTCTTTTGATTGTTTCCCCGTGGTTGTGGTGACGCCAGGTCTCTGTCCGCTGTCCTGGGCTCACATGTCCCTTCTCATGCTGCCGCCACCAGCACAGGGAGAGTTAAGAGTTCCAGCAACCAACTTTTCTTCAACCAAAAAAAAGACCCCAAATAAAACCCGTTGCGCTATTCAAGGCTAAGCTCCCTTAAATATCAAACTAGATTCCTTGGTGATTTTTTATTTTTATTTTTTAAATCAGAATCCTAATAGTGGTCCCTCACTATAATATTTCCAACTCCATCTGAAATCATTTAAATCCTCCCCTTAATAACATGCACTTTATTGTAATATACAGATTCTTTGGCTTCCTACCAGCCTTCGCTTAAGGCACCAATGAAGCTCATTGCCGCAGGGGGCCATGGAATCGAGAGGGACTCGCATCTACTGTATATTTTGTTTTGTGTGTTTTCCAATGGCTCTAATTATTGCAGGTGGTAGAATTTAACTGGCAGTGTTGTTGCTAAAGAAAATAGGCATAAAGTGCGTACTGTTTTGCAGAGTGGCTATCAAATATATAGAAAGGAGAAAATCAAATGAATTGTTAAACCGTTCTATAGTAAGTGATTTTATTGATTTAATGCAAATGCTTATGAAAACGATCTTCCATTTATATCAATTATGTATGGGCAAAAATTAATTTATTCCTCCGGTCACCTGTTTGGCGCACTGACTCAGCAGGACCGGCGTCCCCCTCCCACAGACCCGCGCCCGCAGAACACCAAACATTCACAAAATGGGGATTTTAAAGTTTCTGTGTGCAAAACAACAAAAAGGCCTCGACGGGAGTTCCTGCCAACTGCTGAAAAACAGTGAGCGGGCTGGGGAGGGTGCACCAGGCTGGTCCCAGGCAAGCCTGGAAAATACAGCGGCTCCGATTTTGCCAATCCTTTCACCATGTGGCGGCACATTTATATGTACCGGATCATCTGCGGCATCTGAATAAAATCAGGGAGACAAAATTCTGCATATAAACATTTTGGCTAAGTGCCTTCACTCAGGCTTCTTATCTGGGGTTTCCACAGGATGCCACCTTGCATAACAATGCGGAGCGCCTCGTGCCCAGGATGCGGGCTCGGTAGCCTTAACCATGGTCGCTGTTGCTAGATCCATTGGTTTAAATGCCACCTCGGCCTGCTTTGCTTTGCCCCGTCCCTCCCCAGGAAGGTTATTGCTGAAAGCTTTTGTTGTCTTTTTTAGAAAGTACTATTTAATTTCAGCAGAAGGGACAGGTCTCAGGAAAACAGGAGTTAGCAAAATGCCTCCCAGTAAGCCGAGTTACGAAAGAAAGTTAAAATTCAGCATCCAAACAAATGTCCTGTGGACAGTGAAGCCTCTCTCTTGTCCCCAGTGTTGGGTTGGGAAGCAGCCCCCAGTGCACACAAAAGTACTTTGTTTCCCCAACGCGGGCGGTTGGGTTAGGGTTAGGGCTAGGGCCCCGTGTGTGCCCTGTAAAATGAAATGCACTGAATGTTGACTTTGAATGCCACGTAAATATTTTCCATTTCTAATACTTTACCTTTGTCTCTACCTTTGTGGCATGAGAGGCGGGAAGCTTCCTGGCACGATACAGTGTCCAGAGCACCGCGGCAGCGTGCCCATCGCCTCCCCCTGCCACCCTCTTGAGCTTTGATAACCATAACCTCGAAGGAGAATATTTGAAACAAAATTGTGGAAGTAAGAATAAATTATTTTGTTGAGATCCGTTGTAGAAATTATTGGAAATGATGAATATAAAAGAGAAGAACCAGACTCTGGGCATGTTGGGGAACATAGCAGTTTTTAGTGAATTTCACTGATTTTAAATTGAAACACCGGAATTGAAACTTAAATTGCTTGATATTCTGAATGTTTATATTCTGAAATTTATCAAAATTTGTTTTGTGAGCTTTTTTTTTTTTTAACATGTAGATCTTAATTAATACAAGGTTGTCCTCTAAGCTTCTGAATGATACCTAATGCGTACAGTCAGCAGGTAAAAAAAAAAAATTGAATATTTAAAATAGGCATTTTCTTTATAGTGCTCTGCAGTAATTAAAATCTTCATTTGCTTAAAAGCAAGGAACCTTTTTAAAGCAATAAATTAGCATCGCTTGACCCAAGGTCACTAGTAGTACTGCTTCTTCCAGCACTATTAATACCTCAAAGAAAAAGAAGGGGTGGTGTTATCACTCTGTTGCAATAGAAGTAAGATTTTCAATTTAATCACAGTGAAGTGTCATGACCTTTTGATCTTGCATTGACTTCTCACTGAAACGCGGTCAGATTTCAGACAGCTAATTCGAAGCTCTGCGGAGTCAAGGTGAAGGCAGAAAATGGGTTTGCCACGAGTGGAGGCGGTTTTGAGGCAGTAGCGAGTGGTTTCGGGTCCTGAGTTTTGGTTCACTGCAAAAAGTTTTTTGGACGGGCTCAAGAAATTACAAAACAATTTCTGGAGGAAAAAGAAAACCTGTATCAGCTAATTGCAAAACCAGTAATTTGAATTTGGTTGGTTGTTGTTTTTTAATATTTTTTCCCCACAGGTAAAGGGTCTATTTTTTCCAACTCTGAGCGTTAGAAATAATTCAGAAGGAAAACATTTTTTGACTGAAGCTTCTACTCAGAATAATTCTCAAAGCAAAGAGGAGTCCTCATAACACAGAGTTCACAACGTGCAAAAACAGCAAGCCAGTCGTATTTACACATATGCTCTTGTAGGACATTTTATTATTTTAGGCAAATCTGCTGTGGCTGTTGGAGGCCGTCGGCCGGGAGCTGTTGCTCCATTCCCTGCTCGGGTCCCGCAGCGGTTCGCCCAGCGCCCGACCTCCGTTAGAGCAGCGCCGGTGCTCTGGGAGCAGTGGAACCACTGTGAAAGCATTTAACGAAACTCGGCTCTTCTGTCAGTTTTGCAGATTTTGTTTCAGAAACGGGTAGACAACAATCTCCACCACTCTGTAGTGTTGCTTGGTTACCTTTATATGCGAGCTCCAAAATCTGTTTTGAGACTTTACTATGTGTTGGATTAAGGCTCTGGTTTGTATACAACATAGAGGCTGCTTTATAAAACACATGTAGGAGAGTAGTTTAAATCTGCCTTTTCTAAAAAGAAGGATTCTCGCAGCTTAATTTATGCACACACACACCGAGCGCTCTGCAGAGTGCCATAAACAAGATTCCCTTTTTTTTTTCACCTAGGCACGGGACTATTGCATTATCATGTCCTGGTGCAACATTCCTGTCCTCAGTTTGTACTCTCAGCCTTTTGAGGAAGTCTGGCGCCTCTGATCTATTTTCCACAGCAGACCCTGTAATTTTTGGCTGTATTTTATGTTTTTCAGATTCAAGTCAATCTGAAAGTCCCAGCCAGCCAAGTGAAGCTGATATTAAGGACCAGCCAGAAAATGGTAAGTTCTTACCTGCTGCTCCTGCTTTGGGATATTAAAACAGCCCATATTTATAAAGATTTTTTCCTATGTCTAATATAAAAGCACTATTCAGAATAAGTGACATGGGATAGCTGCAGATAGATTGTGTACCCTCCTCATAGCTCAGATGCTACTGTTTCACTAATCTAAAGTAGCATTTGTTTCTCCAGACCTGGAGAGAGAGGCTGGTTTTTTGTTTTTTTTTTTTTATTTTTTTCCTTTAGAAATCATTTAAATTAGGGAGATGCCATTAAAGAGCCTGCTGTATGCAACCCTCACCCTTATTCCTCCATAGCAAAGGCTTCCAGTCCCTGGGCCATGAGTCACGAACTCCCCCCCCCCCCCCCCAGGGGTGTGTGCTTCATTGCTTTCGTTTTTATTTGTGTGCTCTTAGCTTGGTTCCGTTTGTTGACGCTCTCACACAAAGTACCTAACTTTCTGTACGTGGCCGGCCATCACTGCAAAGCGTGGGATCTCAGGCAGTCCCACACAACAAAATGGTTGCTTTGAAATACGTTTCTGCAGACCCATTCTCTGCAGCAAAATCCCGCTGAACAAAACTGAGCAGCAGCCCCCCCCTAACAGTACAGTTTCAGGGCATACCTGCAAACATCCCAGGCAGGTTCCTATTGCAGGAATGGCTTGGGTGCCAGCAGCATCGTCCGTGCTGCGTCAGCGTGCTTTAAGGGCTGTGGATACTGTGGGTGAGCAGCACAGGGAGGCTCCACTGTGGCTCGTTGCGCCGCTCTCTCGGTCCATTTGCAAAAGTGGGATTTCAGGTGGCAGCCGCTGGGGCTTATTTGGAAGTAGTGCCAGGAGCGTGAATTTTGGGAACACTGATTTGTCTGAACTGGGACAGATTTAAATTAGAAGCAATAGCTTGTGCTGAACCAATGGCATCTGTTGTAAAACAGGCTGAAAAAAATAATTTGATAATAGCAAATTTGTGTATGTGAAAGTACAGACTTCTTGTGCTTTTTGTGTTTAAGTGAGGTGGACCTCACTCAAGCAGGTTCCATTGGCCCATGGGCAATGGATATTTTCTCTAACACTTACATCTAGGACATAGAAATGATGCCTCCCAAAGTGAGAGTGAGATAAGCATCTATTATTAATAACTTTTCTTGACTTTGTAACCAGGCTTATAACAAGATCTGAATGTAGAAGGGAAACCCATTGTACTGTAGCTCATACGCAGAACTGAAGAACTTGTGTGGATGGTTTGAGACTCTGAAACCTGCCACCATTCTGGGGACATCCAAATCCACTATTGTGGAAATCTGTAATAACACAAATGTGATTGCCCTTTCGGAGGGCAGCCGACTGCTTTTGCCTGCAGCCCTTGCAGGGCATCCCTAGAGCTGCATGTGTGGTGAGTGTGCTTTTTGAGGACTGTATCGGGCACTGGCCGAGCTGCATGATGAGGTGAGGCTGAAAGGCTGTGTTAGATCAGGATTGCATTTGGACCAGAGTTTCAATGGCAGATAAAGTTGAGGAAGAGGTTCAGGTCCATGAAAACTTAGGAGTGCATGTCATAGGATGTGGAGCACAGGGCCCATTGAGCTGTTATGAATTTGGCTTTGGGGGTTCCCATGTTTTCCTCGCATTGAAATACAAAAGGTTTCGTGTTTTGATGGGTTTCATACTGCTCTTCTCTAAGTGTACCATCTTAAAACATTTTTGTTGTTGCTGAAAGACAGTGCCTAATTTCTCTTATCAATCCTGTTCACAGAAATTCTAATTTGTAGCCAAAGGATTGTGAGGTTAAGCGAAGAACTGACTAAACTGTGATTTTTGTTCTGCCAATTCTGGGATTTTTTTTGTGTGGAGTATGTTGCCTATGTTTATTAAATCATATTTTAATTTAGAATGCATTAGGCACCAAGCATGTTATTATTTCATGTTTAGATAATTTTCTTTCACAGCTATTAAACCACAGTTCTTCTTACCCTGCAGTTTCTCGGTCTTAAGGAAGCTCGTTACTCAACAGCCAGCCCAAAAAGCAGAAATGTCAGTGTTTAATAATGTAAAATCTGTAAAAGCCTAGTGAAATGAAATATCTCTGTTTTGGAGCCTGAGCCTTCCTTGTAAAACAAGCTTTTAGTGAATTCTTGGAACTTCGTTGGTGACCTGTGAGAGGGACTTTTCTTAATAAACACGAGAGAGATTTTTCTTTTTCTCATTTTTACTGAAGGGTATTTTTTTTTCCCCACTGCAGCAGAATCTTCCTGACTGCTGAGGCACCTTTTGCAGTGCCCGTGTGGGAGGTTTTCTTTACCAAGGCAGCCCGCTGGCCCTGGAGGGGCTGCTCCCCCTGTGCGGCCGCCGTGCTCACGCTCAGCACACGCAGCCCCCAGCCTGCAGCGCCCGGCTTGTAGATCAACACGGATCTGCAGCTCTTATCTACCGAACGTGAGGATGAAAGCAAAACTGCGGGCTTTAGAAAATGAAAAACTGCACGCACAGGAACGGACACAATAAATCATATTAACTGCGTTGTTCTGCACTTGCTGCAGACCCACTTCCACGAGGCCTGATCCAACTCCCTCCGGAGTCTCTGGGAGCCTCGTAATTGATTTTACTGAGAGTGGGAATGAGCCCACACAGGGAGGAGGAGTTGTTGTTTTTGGGTTTTGGTTGGTTTTTGTTGGTTTTTTTTTTTACAATCAAAGAAAAATGCTGTTGTGAATAATCTTATTCCCACTGATGCTAACAGCAGAATGACCAGATTGAGGGCAGGTTTGGAGTCATTTTGCACGTGTTTCTGTAAGGCACAAAGAAGCATATCGATTAAGCACTGCCTTTTACATGCATGCATTCCTTCATTTTAAAAAAATAAATCTTTAAAGGCCTTGTGAGGGTTATACAGCCTCTCTACTTGCCTGTTAATATCCTTTCTGTTCCACTCCATAAATTCTAGAGCTATTTATTATACACATATATTTTGCATACCTTGAGTAATGTAGGTTCAAAAGGGTCAGCTATACAGCCCTGAAAAAGAAGGCCTCCTACTACAGATTTTAATTTATCATTTTAATTTGTCTGTGTTATTTAGAAAAACCTGTATATCTAACCTTCATTCAAGTGAAGTTCATGAGGAGAAAAAAAAAAAAGCTTTTATTTCTTGGAGCCACCCCTCTTTTCTAGTGGGTTTTACAGTTGCATTTTATGGAGCAGAGTCATCACAGAGAGAGTCACAGAATCATAGAATCATAGAATGGCTTGGGTTGAAAAGGACCACAATGGTCATCTGGTTCCAACCCCCTGCTATGTGCAGGTTGCCAACCACCAGATCAGGCAGCCCAGAGCCACGTCCAGCCTGGCCTTGAATGCCTCCAGGAATGGATTGGAGAGAGAAGATGGTGACAACTTCTGCTCTCAGTGGTGGCTTTAACTCCACCTCTAACCTGTTCTTTGGCCTTTGTGAAGCCAGAATAATTTTCAGCAGGCCGCTTACCTGATTGCTACTGCAAGAAGTTGTAGAAATGTTAAGAATTTCATTTTTTTGAAGGAGTAGCCAGTACGATGGTCATGCAAAGCAAGCACGCAGGCAGGACAGGGCTTAGTCATGGGTGCATGGCTCCATGCCTTGTCTTGGAACTGGGCAGAAAGCTGATCCCTTTGGCCCCTTAACATGGGAAAGAGCTCAGGGAGAGGAAGAAAACCTGAATTTGCCCGTTTGTCATGTGGGCGAGGAAGTTTGCAGGAGGGATGTGGAAAGAAGCAGGTTGCTTCATTTGAAAGGCAGGAGCGGGGTCAGGTGCCCTGATACTTTGCTCAAATGATTTTATTTTTTTTTTGACCAGCTGGGTGGAACACCCGCGTGGAAAATTCCCCACTTTTGTAGTTGCCTAATGATATGTAAAAGCTTCATTTCAGTTGGCACCGCAAAGTGATTTTGCAATTCTCCCAATCAAAAAAAAAAATAAAATTAAAAAAAAAAAAAATCGATTTTAAGAGCTCATTAAATGCACTGGTTTGGGGTCATCTTTTAGAAACAAACTATTTTTCAGTGAATCGAGGATGACAAAATGGGCAGTGTGCTGTAGTGAAGGGACTGCCTGCCTGGGGATCAGCAGCAACTGAATCTCAGGCTCAGCACTGGGCTCTCCCTTAGGCTTTTATTCTTCCTTTCAGTCGTGGTGGCAACGGCTATCGGATAGGTTTTCTTTTTTGTAAGTAGGATTATTTTAAACTTCTGTGAAGAACTTCTCAGTCTCTCTGTCTGCAACAGGGGATGTTTGTGACCGTGGTACGACAAATCAGATCCTGCTCTGCTTCGGTAGGGGTTTGGAGCTGGGGAAGGGCACAGCCTGCACAGGGCCGTGTCACTGCTGTACCTGGTGGCAGTGCGGAGTGGTGGCACTGCAGAATTAATGCTGCGTGCAGCAGAGGAACGCTGCGTCATCCGCTGCAGACAAGTGATGTTTCTGGAGCATGTGTTACTGCGATTCGGTAACTCAGAGTCGGGAGCACACCACTTTAATTGTAGATTAGCAAGTTCTTTTTAAAGAAGTTGGTAAATTCTCCCGTTTCAAGTGAGCGAGACAGCATAGCATTCATTATTACAGCTGATTACGACCGTGTGCCAAATTCACGGCTCAAACAATTTCTGTAGAGGGAGAGGCATTTATCTGAAAAATAAAAATGTTTAATGCTCAGACCAAATGCTTTTTAGTTTTAATGTATTCTTGCTGCTTTGAGCTACAAGTACCTTAACGGCACTGCAGGAAATGAAAGGCACATTGTTCTTTGTAACATTAAAAAAAAAAAAGAAAGAAAGAAAAACAAGAAAAACAATGATGTACCGTAACTCACAGAACTCGTTTTTCAACCCTGCAGTAATTACACCGGACTTGTAAATATCATCTGTGAGTTCTTCACGTAAGTAGGGCTGGACTCAGGTATAAAACCTCACAAAAAGGATTTAGGTACATGCTTACTTTCCCGTGCCTAAAAGAATTAAGGAAGAAATGCTG